TCCCACAAGATATGGATTAAATATTAGGACTTGTGCGCGGAAAAAAAAATCTCTGTTATCGGCAAAAAATGTTAATGCAATAGTCACTCGCAAAAATAAATATGCTTATAATCCAATATATATATATTTCGACTTTAAATAACTCACAAAGTTTTGATAAACTGTGAAAAAAAAATCAATTCTATTTTTGCTTCTGTTTAATATTTCCCTTTATTTTCTTGCTCTTACGGGAGTGAAAAATTAAAACAATACTTCCACGATTTGCCCGTATGTTCAGAAAAAAGATGTAAATATGATATATTTTTCGCTGATTTGATATAAAAAAAATGTCAAATTTCATACGACCACTAAAGAAATCGAGATAACAATAAATATCTTATCTTCCTAAAAATCATATCTTATTATTATTATTATTATTAAGAAATATATTATGAGAATATAATATATTAGAATATACTAAATGATATTTGAATATATGATGTTTGATAAAAAAAAAGCATCGGGATTGCTCCTATGCAAAGAAAATTACAACATATCAATTCGGGATTTAATCTCCTAAGCAGTCCGCTTCCGAAGCCACTCACCTTATCTGGCTTCGTTGCCACTGATGGAAGTATTCCTGGAAAACTTGTTTTGGGATAGCGAGCATCTACCACGTAGTATTCTCTTGGATGTCCGTTTCAAGTGGGATTTGATTTTTGGAAAAGAGGAAAAATAGGAATGTTTGTCTTGGACAAAAAATTGCTGCACAAGACATGATCACTGATGGAACCAGATTACATACACTTTTATCCAAAGCACTGCCATAAACAACGGAATTGAGTGAGAACGTTATAACTTAGTATGTATACGCGACAGAGTTTAAGGTCAATCTGTGCCAAGCGGGTTCTCTCTGCGCACATTAGCTGCGTTACCATAGTAACAGTCCCGATACTTTTTGATCAGACCACTTATTATATAATATCAAAATATATAACAAAATTATTTTAACTAAATATCTTTTATTTCTCCGTTTATATTCTAAACCTCTTCTTCCTTTTTTTTTTTTCATTTCTTTGACGGATATTTTTGGCTCAGTTTTGCAGTTACTGTATCCTTTTTCATTCGCTTTCTCTTTCACTTTCACTTTCCTTCTTATTTCTTAACGTCATTTCGTTCTTTCTTTCATTTGTTCATCTCCTTTGAGGCCCGTCTCACACTCATCCATTCTTCACGTACGAATATTGACAGTGTATTTCTTATCAAGCTGAAAATATAAAATAGCGTCGCCTTTTCTCCTTACCCATCAATAATATCAACTGACTATATCCTTCCCTCCATCTATCCGTCCTGTGAAACTACCATTCATTTATTGGAAAGTGCTGGAATTATGCTGGACCTGAGGTCATTTGATTCGTAAAAAATCACCAGACTCACACCTTACCTATTTATTTCTTTTTCCTTGAATTTTCTTACATTTTCCCAATTTTAGCGCGTATTTTAAATTTCGCCTTCTTTCTTTTTCTTTCTTTCTTTCTTTCTTTCTTTCTTTCTAGTTTTAAAATTTTCTTTATTCTTTCTTTCTTCACATTTATAAAGTTCTCTTTATTTTTCTTTCTTTCTTTTTTTCTTTCTTTCTTTCTTTCTTTCTTTCCAATTTAAGATCTCTCTTTACTCCTTCATTCATTCATTCATTCATTCTTTCTTTCTAATTTTAAAGTACTCTTTATTTTTTATTTTTTCTTTCTGTCTTTCTTTCAAATTTTAAAGTTTTCTTTTTTCATTCTTTTTTTTATTTCTTTTCAATTTTTACGTTTTGTTTTTCGTAAGTTTTAAGCTTGCTTTAGCTTTTAATTCCAATCTTTCTTTCTTTCTTTCTTTCTTTCTTTCTTTCTTTCTTTCTTCATGACCGTGATCAGTTAGCCTTCCCTGACTATTAGATCGCATCGACGTCATCATTTTAAAAGGGTCGCACGTGGCAGGTCTAAGGGTCCTACACCCCTGGAGTCTGTGACGTCATCGAACCAAAACCCAATGGCCTCTTTACTCTTTACTACTTCTCTTGTGCAATTCACTTCCGTTCTTCTTTATTTCCTCATCTAACACGCAGATACGCGACCGCACGTTTATGTATGGGAGCGCGATTGGTGTTCTGGACAGGCTGGGCCGTGTGCGCCTTGATTTGCATGGATATCTGCAAAATGTCTGTAAATGTCTTCAAGTGTGCAGATTTGCGTCAGAGTGTCTCCATACGTACTTCTGAATATGTTGCTTCTTGCGTTGTGCATACAAACGCATATTAAAATTTATACACATACACGCATCTAAGTCTGTGTGTTTGAGTGTGTGTGCGTACGTTCTGTCATTGTGTATAAACGCAATGCATCAAAATATGTAAAAATTTGCGTATGTATATATATATATATATATATATATATGGATAGGATGGTTAAGACAATATACAAGCATACAGAAAGACAGACAATTACAAATATATATAAATAATTCTATCTGGATTCAATCCAAGCACGTATATTTGTATACGTGCATGTATGAATATAAAAATATGATATTACGTGTACATTGTGTACGTTTTCTTATAGACATTCATCCACTACACATATATAAAGCGTAATGTCTGTATATATATATATATATATATATATATATATATATATATATATATATATATATATATATATATATATATAGGCGAAAGTGCTCTATTGTTTATCAGGAACCAACTATGATAAAAATATAGTTTTAAGGTATGCTATATTTATGGCTAAAAGTCTGTTTTATGTTCCAACACAATCTTCATCGTCTGAAGAATGCGTACAAGAATGAAACAGACTGTCGCTGTTCGATATTTATGTAAGTGTCCACTGTTAAATGTATATTTACATACTCTCTATTTGCACACTTTTACCCGTAAATACAGCAATCTAGGCACTATATATTTATCTTACACCTTCTAGGATCTTATATATATATATATATATATATATATATATATATGTGTGTGTGTGTGTGTGTGTGTGTGGATATACACACATGGGATCTGTTACACACGCACACACATATATATATATATATATATATAGGGATATATAATATACATACAGACAGACATAACTGCATACATACATACACACACACACGCACACACACATATCTTCTACGTTTATTCCTTCCTTTTACTTTTTCTTTATTTATCTGCTTTCCTTTCTGCTAGCTTTTCTTTTTTTCTTTTACTTTATTTTCCTTTCTTTCTCTCTTTCCCTCTCTGTCTGTTTGTCTCTCCCTCCCCCCTCTCCCTATCTCTCTCTATATATAAATAGATATCGTCATCATAAGAATACACTATGTTATTCTGTTGACATTGAAATCAGAAATATTGTGTGTGTGTATGTGCATTGTGTTTGTATGTGTGTGTGTGTAGACATCAAATTTTATAAGTACGTTGCAATGACATAACTCCTTAAATATTACCATCATTTTTTCATACTATAGTTAAACTTGAATATATTGCTTGCATCTGTAGATATTTACTAAAGCATTTACTAACACTTAACAAAATTTAGGGATTTATTGAGAATGGGAACCAATGCCAATGATCTGCAGAGTTTTCTTCATCTTCATCCTTCTACCACAGGTATATATATATATATATATATATATATATATATATATATATATATATATATATATATATATATATATATATATATATATATATATATATATATATATATATATATATATAATACGATGACAGTATAGTCCAACCCATGCGCAGGTTCAATCCCTGAAGAGGATTGACATTTTATTTGAAAATTGCTTATCTATCATATAAATTATTTATACTTATGAGCATATATTTTTAAAGTTATCCGTAAGCTTATGTGTGTACATATATTTAAGTGTATCTGAGTGTATGTATAAGTATTATGTGGTGACAGATTTTGTTTAACGGCATATCAAAATCACTATGGGTTATTTAATGGCAATATATAAATATTTTGGACACAATTTTATGGATTCAACTAAATATATTTTGAACACAATTGTATGCCTTCAATTACTTATAAAATGTATTGTTGGTCATTTTGCTATAAAATGCATTTTGGTCATTTTACTATAAAATGTATTTTTGATCATTTTACTATAAAATGTATTTTTGGTCATTTTACTATAGAAATGTATTTTTGGTCACTTTACTACAAAAATGTACTGTTGGTCATTTTACTATAAAATGTATTGTTGGTCATTTTACTATAAAATGTATTGTTGGTAATTTTTTAAAATATAAAATGTATTGCTTTTATTTTTACTATAAAATGTATTTTTTTCTAGTGTTTGTTTTTGTTATTGGATTCACTGTTTGTCCACAGCTGGTCATTACCATCTAGGGTCAGAGTTGACTTGGAAACACCAGCAATTAAGAGGTGGTTCCATGCTCCTCAAAACTGCCAATCTTCTAATCATAGGTCTTGTTGCCGGATGTAGTTTGTCGTCATACCCAGGACAAGTGTTATATATGATCATGAGTAAACATACGCACATATATTGATATGTAAATGCTTTAAGGTATCTCTAAATAGGAACTTTCCGTGTATGTCGGTATGCAATAGCAAAGTTATTACAGAGTGTGTATCTATATATCTCATGTGGATGTGTATTTAGCCTCATAGTGACATGTAATGAGGAAAGAGGGTTTGGAAAATTTGATACTCACAGGAAAGATTGGAGACAAGAGGGAGGGGGGAAACAACGTATGACTAAAATTAGCGGGCATGTGTAAATGGATGGCGGAAGAAGAGTTAGGAGAAAAAAAAAAGAAAAGACAAAATTTATTAAGAACTATAGGAAATTGCGGAGAGCCATAATCGCCAACGTCCTGAAGAATATCCTTTATGTTATGTGATTATATGCGTTTAGGTTTCCTTGTCTCTATGAATTTCTCTTTATAAAAATGGATGAGTGCATATGAGAGCGTAAATTTGAGGACATGGGTACTTATGTTTCTACGTAAGAAAGAAGTGGGGAAGATTATGCGAAAGAGAGAGAGAGAGAGAGAGAGAGAGAGATGGGGAGAGAGAGGGAGAGGGAGAGAGAGTTTGTACTGTATATATGCATATACATATCCATTTATATCAATGTGTAGAGTTTAGGGTGGGAACTGTGTACGTGTCTATAATGTGTCAATGTGTGTATGTTGGCATACGTGTGGGTATAATGCGTGTCCATATACAAATGAAAGTATAAATCTTAAGGAAGGCAAGATACTATTCTAGGTGTGTGTGCGTGTGTATGCGTGTGTGAAAATAAACGCACACACCCATAACCTTTCATTCTTTCTTTCTATTTTTTATTTTACTGTTTTCTTTCTTTCTTTCTTTCTTTCTTTCTTTCTTTCTTTCTTTCCTTCTGTAGATCGTGCGTCATTCATTTTTTTTCTGTTTTCTTTCTTTCTTTCATATTTCTACATGTATATTGTGCTTCTTTCTTTCTTTCTTCCTTTCTCTATGTTTATCGTGCTTCTTTCTTTTTCGGTTTTCTTTCTTTCTTTCTTTCTTTTCTTTTTTCTTTTTTCTTTTCTTTTCCATGTATATTGTGTCATTCATTTTTTTTTCTGTTTTTTTCTTTCATATTTCTCTATGTTTATCTTCTTTCTTTTCTTTCTTTTCTCTATGTTTTTCGGTTTTCTTTCTTTCTTTCTTTCTCACTTGTTCTACATGGATATCGTGCTTCTTTCTTTCTTATTTTTCTATGTATATTGTGCCTTTTTCTTTCTTTTTTCTTTCTTTCTTATTTCTCTATTTTTATCGTGCTTCTTTCTTCATTTCTTTTTCTCTTTTTCTTTTTTCTTTTACAGCTTATTGATCTTTCTTAATTCCTCTTTTTTTCTTTCATTGTATCCCTATTTGTCACTTTTGTTTTTCATTTATTTGTTTGTTTGTTTCTTTCTTTCTATTTCGATCTTTTATCTTCTTAGATTTTTTTATTCTTCATTTCGTTGTTTTTTTTTAACTGTACTTTAAGCTTTTCCCTTTCTGTAGTTATTTTTTCTTCTAGTACTTTCTCATTCATTCATTCATTCATTCATTTCTTCTTTCTTTCTTTCTTTCCTTCTTTCTTTCTTTCTTTCTTTTTAAACGGTGTTAAGAGAAAAAAAGTTTGACGTGAAAAGGGGTAAGCAAAGATTAGCGATACAAAAATAAATAAAAAGAAAACGTGAATGGCTGAGGGAGAGTTAAGGAATGCGTAGATAAATTAGGGAAAATGCATTGATGTGAAGAAAAAGTAACAAAGACAGAGAGAAAATTAAAGCGCGTGAAATAGAAAGGAGAGAAAGAAAGAGAAAGAAAGAGGGTGAATTAAAAGAACAAGAGATTGGAAGAGGAAATAGAAAGTGAGCAAAAAAACCATAAACAAATAAATAATAAGGGAGACGAAGGAAAAGATAAAGAGGTCGGCAAATACGAAAAAAAAAACATGGAGGAAGATTGGATAGACAGTTTAAGAAATCAAGGTAGAGAAGAAGAGACATAGCAAAAAGAATAAATAACGGGAGTAAACGCATCAAGAGAGGAGAAGAGAGAGATACATGAAGAAGGCATATAAAGATAGTAAGAAAAGAGAAAGAGAGAATAATAGGGATATATAAGAGGGGTTCATTCTCGAGAGAATACGGGAAAGAAAGCATGAAAAAGAGAGAGAAAGAGAGAGAGAGAGAGAGAGAGAGAGAAAAGGAAATAGAGAAAGCGAGAGAGGGGGAATAAAGAGAAAGAAAGAGATAGTGGTTAGGGGAGATTGCTCCAACGTTCGGATCTTGCCGGAAAGCAAATGTAATTACTTAAAAGGAGTCTCTTGTTACAACATTCCACTGTCATTTCGTATAAGATGGTGGCTTGAGAGAGAAGGCAGAGCCGAACCCGTCTCGATCTTGCCCGTCTACTGAGCCACCCGGTATCGATCTGACGACCGCCCTTCCCGCCCACTATTCACCGCCCCATCCCTTCATCCACTTACCAAGGTCCTCACCATCCCCACCATCCACGGGCCGCCACCTCAGTCCCATCCTCTCGCCATCTCTTTTCGTGCCGCTTTTGTTTTTACTTTTTCTCTGTTCTTTATTCGGCTTTTCGATACAAACATTAATTCCATTAATGGAAAAGAAAGTCGTGTTATTAATTTTTCGGGAGAGCGAAAAACTCAAAGTCTTTTTGGCTGGAACGCGCGCGCATGCATATATATATATATATATATATATATATATATATATATATATGTATGTTGTGTGTATGTATGTATCTGAGAAGAGAGAGAGAGAGAGAGAGAGAGAGATGATGTGCGTGCATACACATACACACGTTATATATACACATTCAGAGAAGAATGTATATATGCACACAACCCTTATGTATGCATACTCATACATCGCTAGAAGCCCATATAATGCATATACTCGCATATACACGAAGACGTAGGTACACACGTTGGAACACATACCCCGTATCTGTGTGTGTGTGTGTATGTGCAGACAAACATGCATGTGCAAACATGCAGAAGTCAGCATAGGTAAAAAGCATGTGCAGCATCGAGCTTTTAATAACTCCGTGTGTGCAGTCTATTCGTATCTATCTATCTATCTATCTATCTATCTATCTATCTATCTATCTATCTATCTATCTATCTATCTATCTATTTTCTTTCCCTCTCCCTGTCTGTCTATCTGTCTATCTATCTCTTTTCATTAACTATCTATCTATCTATCTATCTATCTATCTATCTATCTATCTATTTTCTTTCCCTCCCCCTATCTATCTATCTATCTATCTATCTATCTATCTATCTATCTCATCTATCTATCTATCTATCTATCTATCTATCTATCTATCTATCTATCTATCTATCTATCTATTTCGATAGTTGAAATACGGATATGTTATATCTTTGCGCTTATATGGATCTTCATATAAGCGGATATTTCCACTTTGGCAAGCAGATACGAATGTATGAAATGGATAAAGACACAGATAAATCGAAACGCATGAAATATTAATTGGCCGTCACACAGAGACTAATAAACGCCATCTTCTCTTTCCTATGCTACCAATGTAGCCATCGTCACTTTCAAAACTCAATGACACCGAAAAATATGAGAAAACCGTACAATAAGCTACAGACATGCTCATCTCTCAAGGTACATCGACTTTAGATGTACGCAGTATTAGGTGTGAAATGGCATACGCATGCATAGTAGCACTCCTTTTAAACCCAAGTATAAAACATTAAGAGACAGGCACTGATAAAAGTTCACATATATACAGTAATACACGTACTTACACGTATTAAGAAATTATAATTTACATATCTCTCACGCGCATACATATCCACATTAGCATACAACTACATACGCACAGTGTTAGAGTAAGGGCTAAAAGCTTATGCTTTATAAGTACTCCCAACAGATTACGATACTGACGTTTATCACTGAAATAAAACGAGTACACAAAATAGGCGCGTGCCTTTGCATACATACATACATACATATATTTTAAAAATTGATGCAAATATTTCCAGCATGTGTTGACAGTATCTTTTATTCATACTAATTTATGACAGTATTATTTAATCAGCCCTGGTTTTCTTCGACATCACATTACCTTTCACGTAAATTGTATGTGTTACCATAAAAGAACGATTCCAATTTTTATTTGATGAATTCTTTGAGAATGTTTGCCGGTGTCTTGAAATGGCTGCAACCCGCTAACAAAGCAAGTAGTGGGGGTAAAACACTAAATAGTCTGAAAGTGACAGATACAGATGGCAGATCCATGTGACATGCAGAAGAACTTCCCATTCCAGTTAAATGATCGCTTACAGCGTCACATTTGTATCATGAGCAACAGGCGTTGTGATGAAACAAAACCTTTTCACTGTTAAAACAAAAGATCTTTTGTTTGAATTTCTGGGATGGGAATGGATGGATGTAACTGCTGTAGACACCCATGTAGACCATCGCCTCACAAAGGTAGGTAGGTGTTTTCTGTAGCAAATAGGTCTTGAATTCTTTTTTTTTTTACTAATATTCACCCAAAAAGGCTCAAGAAGCACTCAAGGTAGAGGACTACAAAATGATTGGTTTGTCTTGTTTTGTTTTACGGCATATCAACCTAATGGGTAGTACCGACAAGATTTTTATTACTAGTAATATTTTTTTCCAAAAATGTATTGCTGGTAACATTTTTTTTCAAAAATGTATTACTGGTATTATTTTTTCAAAAATGTTATGCTGGTAATAATTCATTGCATGTAATAATTTTTTTTTTAGAAAACTATTATTGGTAATTTTCTTTTTCAAAAACGTATTGTTGGTAATATTTTTTTCCAAAAATGTATTGATAGTATTAAAACCTATTTTTTTACACTTTCATAGTGTTTTGACCACAGTTTGGGGGTTAACTATTTGCCCATAGCTGAGACCCTAAAAAGTATTACCACCCAAGGTCAGGGTGGACCTGGGAACACCAGCAATTAAAAGGTTGTTCCACGCTTCTCAAAACCTCCCGATCAGAGGCCTTGCTGCCGGATGTAGTTTATCGTCTTACCCAGGACGCGCTACTAAATGAGGCGTGTCATACGGATATAAGAAGAGGATGTAGGAAATGAAGATTTTGAGGAGAAAGAGATACCGATTGACCCTGGACTTGAAGAGGTGAAGTGTTTAGTGTTCAGGAAAGCCTGTTTCACAAAGCCGTAGTTATCTGAAGAAATCTATCTGAGTAGAACTTCCTTCTTACAAATAAAGCGATTGAGGCTGATTCTAACATGTGGATGTATCACGGTGGGTCTTAGCTGCAAAGATCTGAACTGATGGAGTTAAAACATACAGCCCTCAGAACATTTACCATGGCAATAGCGATAGAGAAGCAATAGGCTTGAGAGGAAAGGGGCTGTAGGGTGGGAAATAAGACACCCCCATGTGTTCGCATAAACGATGTTGAGCTGGAAAGTGAGGATTATGTAGCTCCAGTACAGATATGGTAATAATGCACCATTCAAGATTTATCTTTTTACTGTGATTTCCAACCAATTCTAGAGATTCCAGTCTGCCATACCACTAAACCCTAGCTTTGGAGAGACTATATGGTTTCATACGAATGCAAGAGCTTCAGTTGGAATTTGAACACGACACGCTAATTCCACACCGAAAACTGCTACACTATGCGCACTGAAATGATACGTTATGCTTATTTCCACTATTTACAGCCGGACTAACGTCGTAATCTTTGTTGCTATTATCACAACGTTTTGGCCATTGAATTCTCCGGCTTTCTTCAGATGTCTCTTGGTTACAGTAACCTTATACGAATTTCGAAATGAAACCTATATTTAATTTAGTGGGTAGCCTTTTCTACGTTTCATGATCCATATCTTGGGATATCTCCTCTTGTTCTTTATTTATACTACTACTCAGTAAATGTTAGTCCTGTTTCTACTGAGACTGAATTTGTACTACCCAGCCCAGAGATTGAACAGGGTTCAGTTCAACATTTGAACCACTTGAAGAAGGCCGGAGCGTACATCGACCTAAACATTGTGATAAATATGGCAACAAAGATGAGGTCGATAGTCCGAACAATGTAAATAGTGTATACCTCAGTGTATGAATCCCTTATAATAAACATATTATAGGAGATAAAGAAGTTGAACATAGAATAGGCTAGGGGCAGTTTCTCTCAAAACCGCAAATTGCTACAAAACTAACACCATGACCTAAAATTGTTAAATTACAGTACCGTCAAATTTATGAATCTACGTTTAAAACCTCGAACCTGTTGCCCTGAAGTACAATAGATCTCTTATATTCTAAACTGTCATATTAAGAAGCCAATTGCTCAATCTAAATTTGCATAATAACAGTGTCTCTAGCTCCCAGCAATTAGTAAAGAAATTAATCGTTTTGGATTGCATTAAACATAAAGGAAATTCCTACAGTAGTTTTCAGCTATCTGCCCTCGCATTATTAAACCTTTTTATTCTTTATAATTTTAGAAAACTAATTTCAGGGGTTCAATAAATTCTGTCTGAATTTCTGTGATGATGAGTTATCATTATTTAATTAATTCGTTTGCTTCCTTCTTTTATAGAAGAGCTCAGAAACTGGTGAACAGG